ATAGGGCAATTGATAAAGAACTACAAAACAATTTTTGGTCCTGTGGATTAGATCCAAAATTAAAAACATATGAAACTGATTATGATAAAGAGACAAGACAATTAATGACACGCTATGCTATTAATGATGTATTCGCGCCCACTTGTCTTTATTTTCTTTTAGAAAAGAAACATTGTTTATTTGAATCTCCAACATCTGAATTAACATTAACATCAACATCATTACCATCATCATCTACATTAACATCAACAATACCAGTCAATATGAAACAACAAATATTAATATATGCTGATAGTCACGCAAAAAATATCGCTAAACATCAGCCATCCTCAGCATCATCCAATTTTGAATTAACTGTTGATTGGCTATCAGGCAGAAGATGGCTTGATACATATACGCCACATTTGTCAGCAATTGACAGTATTGTCACACCAGCTACATCATCAAGTCTATCATCAATATCATCATTAATTTTGCTCATTGCCACAAATTCTCTTCGTAATGTACCATATCAGCATGTTATATTACAAGTGCAAAATATTATTACAATCATACGACAGAAATTTCCACACATTACATCAATTGCCGTTGTTACTTGTCTACCGTCAACAAAAGTCACACATCGTTTACCAACCGTCGACAATTTAAATGCAAATATTACCAATTATAATAAACAATTGAAAGAATTAGCCGGATCATACAATATACATGTAATTGAACCATTAATTACAACGGATGATCTTTTTGATGGACTACATATAGATAATGCAAAGCAACATCTCTTATTTGATCCAATTTTTCAATATTGTACATCACTGGCTAATCCATCAGATACCGAACGATCACAATTACAACAACGCGACACACATCATCAACAAATGGAAGTATCTAACGTTAATGACGCACAGAATGAATCCACAACGCTCAACAATGCCGCAACATTACCTGCTACAACTTCTACTTCCACAATATCTCCACTTTCAGTTGTTAATGATCAACAAGAAGCTCAACAACCAAAAATTAAAACAAAGCCTATTCGCACGCCATCAGAAAATAATGCTAGAAATAAAATAAGACATAAAAAACTAAAACAAAAATTGATGACCAATACAATAACACGACCAATTTGTAAACATTGGCCAATGACTTTGATTAAACAAGTGTTACACCATCATCTGATACCATGTGAAAAAACACCATATCCACAGAATGGTAAATTACTATTGAGATTCAAAACAGTAGAACAAGCCAAAATAGCAAATGTTGATTTACCACAAGAGGTATTCAATGAAGAACAATTACAATACTGGTCCCACAAACAAACAGAACAATAATAACTTTTTTCTAGCATTCTTACTCAAGCCGGGACACGCGCTGCACTCCTTCCTGTCTAGGACTGCCCTTCCGGCTCTTGTGCCCTCTTTTGGGGGAAACAGCAAGATGGATGGCACATCTTGGCCAGCAGCGGAGGTGTTAGCGTTAACCAGATGACACATCGTTATCGCTAACTAATAGAAGTTAGTCAAACAACTGGTCATCGAACAGCCAGTCGTATTTTCTCTTTTCGCCTTTATCTTTGTTTTTATTTTATGGTTAACGTCAAAAATAGCTAATGCATAGATATCACTAACTACATGAGAACAGTCACGTACTGTTCTTTGATCAGCCAACTATATCTGTTATTCGTTCTGCCTGGTTTAGATATAGTTTTTGTTGCTGTATATGATATCATCGTCGTCGGCCATGTGTGATATAGAAAAGTATAAAAAGAGTTCTTCCTTTTTAACTTCACGTGTCTTTTCCTTCTGTGTGCGTGTCGTGTTAGTTAAATTATTTTAATTTGTGTCTCGTTTATGATTTTTTTCAAAACCATTGTTTTTGTTTGATCTTTTGTTATTTCGTATTTTATTACTAAAAATTACATTCACATATACACATCCAAATCGGATTTTAAATCATTTATCTATCATTTGAGAATTATCTCTTTTGTATTCAATCGTTATCTATTGTCCTATATACGTTTAGGTATCCATCTCAAGGTAAATTACTTTTATTCATAGTTTCAGTGTTCCTCACTCCCCTCCTAGCAGACAGGAGTAGCATATAGATAGGTTTCGCAAAGAGTGAGCTAACATGTATGTATGTATGTTTGTGTTTATGTATGCATGTATGTCCGCAGACCAGATACTAGCGACACACGAACTAGTAGAGCAAAACTTGATTGGAGGGAAATGATGTGGAGTAGGTAGTCGAGTATCGCGAATCAGAAAGTGAGTATGGGCAGCCTCTGCGGTGAATCCTATTGGTCGAAAACAGCATTTCTACTTGAATTGATGAAACTGATATGGAGTAGGTAGTCAACTATAGGGAATCAGAAAATGAGTGTGAGCGAAGCGTGTGTCTGTTCGTCCAGACATCTAGTATTGCTGAGGATTATCGAATAGATAAGCCGCGTGATCACTACATAGGCATAGGGATACTCGTGCGCAGCAGCATAAACAATTAGTTTTGCGGACGTACATACACACATTTGGGTATTGGCCTGTAGGGAACGTTGCTGTTTCGGAAGAGTACCCACTCATAAATCACCCAAATCTACGATGACCTTTCTTTGTCGACATGGACTCTTGTATAAAATATATTGTTGAATAAAAGACGTTTTGATTAATATAAATTAAAGGACCCTGCCGGTTTTCGAAAGTATGTCGAAGCAGAAAGCTATATATCAGGTTTTGTAGAGCTTGTCGCGACGCATCTAAATCTATATTGGGTTTGGGTTAATACCTTCTGATTACCGAGATA